AGTGGAAAAATTGTAAGTTGAACCATCATAAATCGGGACCATCTGTAATCAGGGAGAAGTGATGTTTTTAGAACGTTGAACCTTCTTTCCTCAACTTGTTTACTTTCTGCCCTTTGACAAAGTTCTGTAATTTTGTAAAGTTTTGAATCTAGATCTTGCATCTTCAGTATTAAATTTATTCTTGGGTATTTTATTTTTGTTGCTATAATTAACAGAATCTATTTATAACATTAAGTGTCCTAAAATGTTATTTATAGCAATATAGAAAATATTTATTTTCACATACTTGTTTTTAAACTAATCATCTTAATTCTCTTATTAGTTCTTTCAGCTTCTGATAGATATTTCTCATTAGAAAATATAATCTGTAAATACTGATTATTTTCTCATATTAAGTACTTGAGTTTTTCTTATATTAGCTGCATGCACTGCCTCAAATTTCAGAATAATGTTAAGAAAAGTGACAGCTGACAGTTTTGACCTCCATTTAGTTTTAATGGAATGCCTTCAAGTTTCACTGTTACATTTCATACTGACTGCTGGTTTGACATAGATGTTCTTTCCCATGTGAAGGGAATTCTTTAATTCAGCTTCTGACTGAAGAGGATAATGAATTTTATCAGATGCCTTTTTGGCATCCACTAAGATGAGACGGTCTCTCCTGACCTATTAATTGCATTCCAAGAATCGACTTTATTTAGTCATGGTTTACAGCCGTGTTTAATTTGCTAATATTTAATTTAGGAATTTGATTATTCATTAGAAAGATTAGGCTATAATTTGTACTACTTTTTGATGTTTTATTATTCTAGCTTTGAAATATGAGTTGAGGAACTATACATTTTTTTTTCTGTGTTATTCAACAGCTTCAATAATGAGTCATTTTCTCTCTTCATTTATAGCCACTCCAGGCACACCATATTCATTGGCCTGGCCAGTTCCACCAACACCTCCTCTCTGCTGCCACTGCCTCTGATGAACTCCTTCCTACTCATTTCCTAAGACCCAACTCAACCATCAATACTTTTATAGCCTTGTGCCATAATGTTAGCATATGCCTTCATTCCAGTACTAATCCTAGTATAATTCACTCATCTATTAACCTGTTTTCCCCATCAGATTTTGAGCTTCTGGAAGCAAGGACAGTCATGTATGCATTTAAAAGAGAAATTTCTGAATCTCCAGTGCTTATCACAGGACCTGGCACACAGCAGGTGTTTAATAACTCCTTGTTACATGAATAAATCCATGGTACATTTTGCTTTAAATTTCGCCAGTGAAAAAATTTCAAAGAGGTATGTGTATGCTTCTTTGCCTTTCTTTGACAATAAAATAGAGATAATAATCACTCACTGCCATTCTGCACACTTAGCAGAGTTGCTGTGCTGGGAGAACGGATGTGAAAGGATAAAGGATAAAGTCAAAGAATTAGGTACAAAAATACACAATAGCTATCAGACTGTCTTTGATAGTAATAATAGGTAATGTGCACTGAGCATTTACTATGTTCCAGGTATGGAATTATCAAATTTATTTCTCATAACAGCCCAATGAGGTAGATATTATTGTTTCAATTTTACATGCGAGCAAGCTGAATTTTAGAATTTAAGTGACTTGTCTGAGGTCAAACAACGGGCAAGTCGTGCAGCCCAAGAATTCCAAAAACCAAGACTTTTGGAATTCAGAGTCCACTCTCTGGAAACTGCTCTGTATTGACTCATCAGTAAAGACAGTATGCTCCATTTATGTGAGAAGAGGGACAAATGATAAGCAAAGGGTGAAGATTTGGTCAAATACTCTACTTCCCTGGTATTGCCTTAGTTTAGTGCACAACAGAGAGGGAAAAAAAAAACCACTAATATGAATATCTACCTGTTTGCCTTTGGTATTATCTACCTCCCTTCTGATGAAAGTAGGCTCCTTTGAGTAAGGTTTCCTTTCTTTTTAGTTTATGCTAAGATGCTGCTTTATACCCAAAGGATGCACATTGGACTGTGTGAGCATGGATCATCTTTCTTTTTCTCTTTTGATGAGGGGGACAAGACAGGTAAAGAGGAGACAACTTTCCTTTAATAATTAAGTTCCTACATTCTTGAGCTCATGGTCCTGAGGTATAGGTGAGTGTCGGTGACCTCTGATCTGAAATGGGATGGATTTCAGGGTTCCCCCCATTCCAATGGGGAGGCACAGTAGAAGTACTAAAAGTAGACTGTGAAGAAGAGGAGTTTACCACTTTCCTGTAGATAGTATCCCAGGCCGGACTGCCATGGATTCCATCTCCGACCCCTCCTGCTTGTTCACCACTCCAGGCTGTGACCCCAGCTGAGTGACAGAAGTGGTGAGAGGTGTTCAGAAGATTAAAGGCCCAAATCACCGGAGGCTGCCATCTCGCAAGAATATTTGGACGTTTTCTACTTGGCAATCATTAATATTCTCCAGCAAAGGATGAACAGAAACCCTGTTCAAAAAGCTTCCCTCTTCAGATCTCCATACCTTGGAAGATAAAGTGAATGCTAGGGTTTTGTTTTGAAATTAAATATTCATTGGATTGGGTCAGAGCCATTACCGTTCTTGAGAATAAAACTGAATTTCTCCTTTGTTTTGAAACAACTAACAGTCATTTCACTTAAGAATCAATTTCTGTAGTACATCAGTCAGGGTACCACGTGGTGTGGTTTTTCTAATATAACACTCGCTACTTAGAACTGGATACAGAAAGACACCAAGTGTTTCATAGCGGGTGCATGGGCATTTGGACATCGAAGACGCCCTGCAGACAGAAGCACCCACGGATTACAGGAGGGACTTGGGAATTGAATCCCGGGCACTGCGCCAGCCCCTGGTTTAGCTCTTTGGCTCTGTTCATTGATAGCTGCTCCATAACATCACTGAGTTGGTTTCCTAGGCTGTAAAAAGGGGATCGCACTGTTTCTTCTCAAGGGCTGCATAAAGATTTAGAGATGGGAATTAGAAAATGAGTGACACAAAGTAGAAACACAAGAGAGGCGGTGATGATTCATATTTTCACAAAAATACTGAGGACCGGTCACTAAAAGCCATTTAGATCTGTTTAGTTTTTTTCCCCCTAATCTTTCAGGCACCATTGCTCACATTTCCCTTGAATTTAAACACCTTTTAAAAGCTTTCAAAGCTCTGAAGGTTGATTTCAATGAAACCTGTTTTTATTCTAGGCGTTTTTCCTACTGTCATTCTCAGTAAAACAAAAAAACAGTTACTGTCAAAACAACAAGGGTTTGCTCTCAAGCACAAAATGAAAGCAGATATGTCTGCCTGATTTATTTTGGCATCCGCCTAGCAGTTAAATAGGACACCTTTTAATTGTCACTTCTTTAAGATTCATTTAGTTTGGGAAAGTAAATCACCAGTGCTTGGTTTCAGCTAAACTAGAACTAGTTGGACAAGAAGGTTTATTCTTTATCCCTCTGGCACATAGCCTTTTGAAAACTGCCAATTAAAGAAGAAACTGTGTATTTAGCCCCATACTGAAGATTGGTAACATCGAATGGATTTTTATTTTTACTTTAAACCAGAGGAACTTAGAAATCTAATTTATTTCCATAGATCAACCAGAGGTCTGGGAAAGAAAGTCAATACCATTAACAAATTTATGTAGAACTATTTAAAAGAGCGAATATCCAGCTATTTTTTACAATTAAAATCAATTACGAGTGAAGAGACTCAAAAGTCAAATCTCAACTCTAACATGTAAGAGCTGGGGAAGTTATTCAATCTCTGTGTCTTTTTTAGTCTCTAAATTGGGGACTATATCCACCCACAGTTTAGAAAAGTAACTGAGGCCATGGACAAAAAGCATATAGCATCTACTGGGCACGTGTAAGTTGCTCAAAAAATGCAAGCCGCTGTCGTTATTCAGGAGACCTTGTGTAACATTTTCTAGCAATTTGATCCAGGGGTGAGCATTTCTCAGTGTAGGAAAAGTTGCTTCTTCTATTTGCCCCAAATTTATTTTGCTGGAATTTAAGCCCATTCCCTCATTTTCTCAATGTGGCAAAAACATCCGTTTAATACTTTCTGTATAATGAGGTCACATCGAGGACACGTGTGTATCCAACCATTAACATAACCATTCCTAGACTGGGGTGTCTTTCTGGCATCTCAGTCATCTAACTGCAACCTGTAATCTGGCTGATTATTGGATAGACAAACTAATCTTGTTATAAAATGAAATAAAAATCTTTCTCACACACACACATACACGCATAAATATACATAAACACACACACATATACACTTTTTTTTTGGTCTTATGATGTTTCATGTTTTTTGATGTGGAGTGTATGGGGGAACGTGAAGGAAGATAAAGGCTTCCTTCTTTGGGTCCTTTAAAGCAGACAACCTTGCACTGAATTATGGCAAACTCTTTGAGGGTATAGATTAACCTCAGTGTTTGAACCAACAGTTGAGCAGGGTGTTTTGCTTTTTGTTTTTTAGGGGAAGACAACTCACAGACCTAGTCTCGGGGTCTTTCCCAATTTTGGAAGTCTGGTGCTACATGTAGTCCAAATACCACATCTATACAGGCTGTGTCTTTTCCGACATCTTCCTCATTCTTCACTGTGACTGCTTCTCCAAGAATAGCAAGTGTCTGAAGTCAAGTGAGGATGAGCTGATCTAACTCCTCCATGAAGCTTTCTCTTTCTGGCCCAGTACCAGGAAAACTAAGGCCTTCGCCTGGTCAGATGGAAGCTTACAGAGAAGCGATTTCATCTTCCAGTCCTTTGCTTGAGTGTCCAGTAGAAACTTGTAGAATAAAACCAGGCTAAGCTGTTGTTCTCAAACATGTTTATTTGTTAACAGTTATACATGGCGTGTTACAGAAATTAATGGAAAATTTCTAAAAATTTCACTGTTGTTGAATGTATTGTACATAAAGTTAAAAATAATGTGTCCATATATGTTAACAAACTGTCATCTGAGGTAAAGTTAAAGTAGGTCTAGAAATGTACTGCAAACAGTCATTTTCTCTTTCTCATCTTTATTAAAAAAATATGTGTCAGAACGCAGAAATTGAAATGAACCAAACCCACAGAGTAAACATTTTTTTTTTTTTTAAAGAAGGTGCCCGGTACATGACATGATGGGGTTTCAGTAGACACTGGGATGAGTACGGATTATAAAAAAAGTCTTGTGGCATGGAAAGATCGAAGAGCTACGGGTCATGGGGACAGAATGACAGGTGGCGTTTCCCTGGTTTCAAAATTTAAAGTGACAAATTTAGTGCTAGTGAAGGATGAGGAATTAACAGTTGTTACACACGTATTTTCTATCGATCTAACCGGAACTGGGCAGACTCCCCATGGCCTTTTGGTATTGGCTCCCCGGCTCTTACTTGGAAATTCCACTGTACTCTTGGGATAGGATGTGGTGGTTCTGAGCTCACCAAACAGGGCTTGTTAAGGATCAGAATTCTGCCAAAGATAACATGGATGGCAGTTTAAAATCTTGACTTTATTTCCCTCACTTTAATGCATCACACAGGCATCTTTGTTAGGTTCAGAGCCAGTAACACTTTCAATCACATTCAATGAATGATGACAAGTCCACTGGGCTGTCACTTTCTCCTATGAAATTAACTCCAGACGGTGTACCCGAAACAGCAACATCGGTCAGCGTTCACTTTGAACATGTCACAAGCAACCCAAAGAATCGGTATAATGGTGTGATAACTGAGAGACAAACTCAAGACAGCCATAGTGAGGGAGGAGATTTAGCACCACTTGTTTAGAATCAGAATCTCGGACAACAGAGCAACTGAAGCCATGTCCCCCAGGGGAACTGCCTATCGTATCAAATCCCCAGAAAACAGAATCGAACCAGTTTCAGGACGACTCTCACGGTCATCACATCTTTCCCATTTTCCCCATTCAGGTGAAAGGATGACTTAATTATAAAATGGATGCACATTCCTGGAGAAATCATGTGGACCAACAGGTGATAGTTACAGAGGGGGGTAAATGGCCCTTCTCACTTTCCTGGTTCTTTGGACCTTCCATGTTAGGATGACATCGACATATATTCTGTAAGGACATTTGGTCAGTTTACCTAACTGGGAAAAAAAATCACGTTCCAGTGACCCGATAGTGTAAAATTTGGGCCTCGAGCAGTAATGATTACCTTGAATTTTGATTTTTTTTCTTTGTGAACAAGTATACCTTCTTTCAAACCACTTTACTTTCTATTGATATGACGAAGCACAGTACACAGGCCTATTTAAATCAATCATATCAATGTCAATTCTACTTTCCAAATTTTAAAACCCAAGTAATAACAGTTAACCCCAAACCCAGTTAATCACACGGTCCTCTCAAGTTTTCTCCTTAGTGTTAAACCACTAAATTCAACATACTGGAACTGCATAGGAACATCCGGAGAACACACTTGACCTGTAGAACAATTCTCTGTAGGGCAAAAATATATAGATTCTTTATGAAAATCATGTGCTAAACATACGAACTGAACACTGCACTTTTTTGTCTCATAAATGTAAAAAAAGGAAGCTTAAACTCTTCTGTTTCACATACAAACAGTCCAGTGATCTCTATGGGGGTTGGTGATAGTGAAGAGGTGTGTGTGGGGGGGAGAGGGCATTTCAGAATCTGAAGGACAGGCCTTCAAAATGTGAACGTTTTCCTGTTTGCCGTTGATGGTGGATACTCTTGCAGAAAGGTTGGAGTAGACTGTGGGGTTACGAGCCCCCCTTCCTGTTCACTAGCTGCCGATTGGCCAAGTGTTCCTGCCAGCTGTCCCTAAACTCCAGCTTCCTCCCATATGCTCCACAGTAACATCTGGAGAGGGAGCCCCATCCATCAAGTTTGTCACATCCTGCACTCAATCTGCTACCTTCTCTACAGTGTAATGGCATTATTAAAAAGCATTTTCATTAACATTTATATTTACAAAAAAAAACTGGCATTTTTTTTTTCATTAGAACTCCTTAAAGCCATTTCCCTTAAATATTTAAAGAGTTTAATGGTAAGGTTTTTTTTTTCAAGTTATAAAATAAAAATCCCATTTGAATTTTCTGATGTACAAAAAGAGAGATGAACCATTGTGATCCTGGAATCCATTTGCTATTCCGAATATCCATGTCACCACTGTTCCACTAGAAAGTCGGTTTTAAGATCCAAAACCACATTCCCAGGATTGTACCAGAATTATTTGGCAAATGACTTTTCTTTGAAAATGGCACGTGGAGAAGACACTTGTCTGCATAGCATCACAGCAGCAAGATATCGGAAAAATAAAAAATATCATTTTATTGTACTTAGAGTTTAGAGCTTCTGAGAAAATCAGATGCATTTTTCATCTTTCTCATCAATGGGATCCGATGTCCTTTCCAACTCACAGAATGAAGGTTCCAACCAAAAGCTGTCTTTTTATTTGCCATGATGCAGAATAGTTAAAGGATTGTTTTGGCAACATTCTTGATCATAAAGAATAATCAACCACTTATTTGCCTTGTGATTTTCAAGTTAATTCATTTCATATGAGGCTTTTCTTTTCCAGTTAGATTTCCTCACCCATATCGAAAAAAAGTCAAAAGCAATACAAAAATTTTTACACCCATTAATTTTCAAACATGACAAAGGAAAGGGGGAAAATGGCAGACCAGGCCCTGTGGAGTGATGAGAAGATGTCGTCATATGTCAAAAGGCATATGGATGAGGACACTGTAGTCACAGAGGACCTCATGCTTTTGTCTGAAAGAAGTCAGCGCCAACCCTGTTGTCACTCTCTGAGGCCTGTCACTCCACATTTGATGTCTTTACAGTGGTCAACAGGTCGAAAAATAAAAGAGAATTACGATTTTGCAAACTGGGTCATCTTAAACCCATGTTAAGAGAGCTCAAAACATTTGTCGGGTAAGCATTTGCTTGGTTTGTGATTTAATGTTGGGTATGATTTTTTATACTTTTTTGATTTTTTTTTTGTGCTGCCATAGTTATCTGCCATGGTTGCCAAAAACCCTTAGTTTCCTCTTCCAAATGAGTTCCATTGGGCAATCGTGAATTTCGTCGTGGGATGAGGTGAGGCAGAAGAATACAAGAGAGAGCCTGTCCTGATGCTGATTTCCATGCCAGTCTTGAAGCACCTGCCGTGAGCTCACCTCGATGCTACTTCTTAGGTCTGTTGATCTGCGCATAGAGAGGCTCCAGCTCCTGGGGACAGAGGGACAGAGTGAGAACTGCTCTTTTCCAATTAGGATTTTCTGAGACAGCATGGGAAGGAGGGTTTGGGATTAGAACAGAAAGATGACAGTTTATGATGGATGACCTTAGGTAATTTTTGGATTATTTGATCATGATGCATGTCATTTTGGTGACTTTTTTTGAATCATCAAGAATAACTACTCACCCTGTTTTGCCCTTGGTTTTCAAACTGAAACTGGCTTCCCAGTTAGGAAAAAAAAGCATGGTGTAGCAGAGAGAGCTGGACAAGCTGTGTGATGTGGACACGATCCTTGGCCTTTCTAAGCCTCAGTTTTCCCAACCACTGAATGGGAAGAACACTGTTTTTCCTACAGAGTTCTTGAGAGACTTGAGGTGATATACACACACACACACACACACACACACACACATATATATATATATATATATATATATATATATATATATATATATATATAAAGCATCTAGCACAGTGCTTGGCAGTAAGAAGTCTTCAGAAAATGCTAACAATCAGCTTGAGACAAGTGGACATTTTTCCAACAAAGTTTTACGAATGTCTACTTGAAACCGCTGAAATTCTATTTCAAACTGGACTTTAGTTTCTATAGGCAGTGAGGACCGGGCACACTTTGGAGCAAGCAAAACAGCAATTAGGACTTTAGCTCTTAGTTAAGAGTTTCTAGGACCCGTTTGCATTCAACCTCCTGTTTCAGGGATGGCCTCTCATTTGCCTGTACCCATGGAAATGGCTGTCCTGAGACACATGGGATTTTCACCAGTATGTGAGGCAAACCTTCAGTCCAATGGTAGATGGGAAATGGTGTTTAGCTCTGTTGAAACTACTTGACTTCCTCCTGTTGAAATGGCCCACGGTGCACTGGCCAAGCAGATCAGGTCAGGACTCTGGTCTTAGGCATACACAGGCCCTTCCTTTAATTGACCATTTGCTGTCACTCTTGGGTATTTGTGTCAGAATTAAACGGACAAGGTGATATCTTAATTGTGTCATATTTCTATATTAGCCTGTGTGTTGCCATGTGAGTATAGATCCTTTCTATTTGCTTATTCTCTGGAGCCATTAGATTTAACTGATATTCTATGAGCCCTGACTATGTGTCTGGCACCATGTTAGCTATCTTCAAGTACACTGTTTTTTTAACTTAACAAATCAGCCTTGTCAAGTAGATGCTTTATTTATCCTTTGCAAGTGGGAAATCACACAGAGAAGTTAAGCAATTTTTCCACGGTCCTACAGCTAGTAAGCTTGGGATATGAGACCTAAAAGTAGGGTCCAGTGCTTTTCTAGTCTATTACAACAACTGTCATAAAAGAGAAAAGACCAATCATTCAATCTGTAGTGTTGTAGAGTGCTTTGGAATTTATAAGGCACCCTCGTGTCTTATTTTACCTGCTTAATAGTCCTGGGAGTGGCTCTTATTCTTTCTGTCTCATTTTGCATATAAAAACTGAAGGTCACAGAAGTGGTATGATCTTAAGGTCATTGTGCTGTACACCTTGTGCATTTAATAGATACTATTGTTTGCCTTTATTATAAAGGGGAAGTGGACTAGGAGATAATTTTGTCCAGATCCATCATTTTACAGGTGAAGGATCTGAAGCCTAGAGAAGGGAGTTTTGGTTTCCCCAGAGTCAAAGGTTACTTAGAAACCATGTCATGGACAGAATCCAAGACTCCTGCCTTCAAATCCAAGATGTCATCCTCTGGACCTCAGTATGTCTGTATTTTTCCAGGGAAAGGCATCTTCCTATCCTTCGAGGCCCCCTATTCTGTAACAGAATACAGATTTGTCCCTCCATGCTTTCTACCTATGGGCTTCATATCACTCTTGGAAATGTAAAGAGTAAGTATGATCCTCCTCCCAAATGCCTAACGACAGGATATATGGAAGCTCATTATTCCATATCCCACCTCTGGGTTACTGCTTCCACGTCCCCGTGCTATTTTACACATGTTGACTTAGCACAGTAGGCGCTCAATGAGGATTTGTTGGATTGATGAATGACTATAATACAGTTTCTGCTTTCTTCACTGTTCTGATCACTTTGTCCTAAATACCCTCCCGTTTGGCTTTATTCTCTCAAAATCTAATCTAGCAAAATCTATAGCAAGTTCATTTGTCATGCACCTAATCCATTCCCTGCCAATGCTTTGAAATGTTTCAAATACCTGTTGCAAGGCCAATACCAACCACATAACTTTACTGTGTGTTTGTATTCTGGGGGTGGACTGGGTGGAGCCAAGGCAGAGTGGTGACATCAACTACAAGTTCTGGGAAAGAACATGTTCTTCTGCCTATGCTGTGTTAGAGGATGTATCTTGGTCTCTCCTGGGTAGAAATGCTCAGCCCACTCTTCTTTTAGGATACCCTAAGAAGTCAGGCTGCCTTGATCTCACCCTACAATTTGCTCTATTCTAATTTTGGAAACTAATTTATTCAACTGAGAATGACACCTAAAAACAGAAGAAGACAGCAGGCTCAGACAGGGTAATTAATGCCACACTGCATTAACTTTCTGCAGCTGAGATAAATATTCACACATCTCCTGCTTGCCGGAATTTAACTTCAAATACCCATCACAACAGCAGTAAGGACTGCAGTCAACTCTCAATTATCCCCAGTAATGAAGGGGAGCAGTGGTGTGGAAAACCCCAAGCAGCAGATAATCCCAAAGTCTGACATTGTGATGCATTATACGTTTTGGCAATAGCTTTACCTTCCTTGTTACAGAATCTCAGACTGTCAGAGCTAGAGGGGTGTAAGAAATCATTTGATCCCGAAATTTCTGACCTGGCTTCTGGCAAGGTCGCGATGGGGTCTTCAGGCTATTTTCAATATTCCAGAAGCCTAAATGGAATCATACATTAACACAGCACCCTGTTGATATTTTTTGTTTTCCTTTGGCAGCTTTGACCACATCTCTGCCCTCCTTCAAATCCCTCAAAGGTTCCCCATCACCCACAGGGTAAGGTCAAAGCTCCTCAGCTGGGCACACGAGACCCATTCGTCTCGTAGTCCATTAGAGCTAATAAATGCCCCTTTCAGATCGTGAATCAAAATTTAACTTTCAGGTCACGTAAATCATAGTTTTTTGTTTTGTTTTGTTTTGTTTTTCTCCAATGTCTTTTATGCCTCTGCCAGAATGATCTTTCTGAAATGGATTTGGTCATGCCATTCTTCTGCTCCAAGACAACCTCCTGACTCCTTATTTTCCCAAGAAAAATGCAGACCCCCCAGGATGGCACACAAGGCCCTTCCAACATGGCTCCACCTTCTTGCCCAGCCTCATCTACTTCCATTCTCTCTCCTATGCCCCATTCTTCTGGTCACCCTGACACGACAGGATTTTCCCATCTCTGAGACTCTGTTCAGGCAGTTCCTTGTGCCTTTGGTGGCCTCTCTTTGTCCTCCAATGGGGAGTTCATAGTTTCAGACCCAGCTCCAATATAAAGGCTTCCGGGACTCTGTAGGTGATGTGGGCTACTCTGTTCCCACTCAGAATTGGAGCATGGTGGATCTCACCGTGTAGAACATCCTAGAAGATAACCTGATGCAGTGCAGACAGAGGTCTACAGAGGGGACTGAAAGAGTCTAGGACTGGAGAACTCTGTGCAGGTTACTTAACCCCTCTGAGTTTCAGTTTCTTCACTAGTAAAATGAGGCTATCCTCTCTACCAGAGGTGTGGTGAGTACTGAAGGAGAAAATACACACTGATTATCTAGCACAGAGGCTGACACATAGGAAATATTCCCAAAAGGTTAGGTAGGTCCCTTCTATGTATCGTGGTTTTATCCTTCCTTTGTAGAAGGTGGTTTTAGACCTAATAATCATCACCTGTAGGTGGCTTCTCCTTCATAGCACACAAGAGCACCTGCAACTGGATTCTGTTAGGAAATGTAATAATGGCGCTGGGGTAGCCCAGGGAAATGGTGCAGAAAGCATGAGGGGTTAATCTAAAGAAACTGGGTGCACAGCCTTGTGGATAAGAGTCTGCCACAGGTTTACAGACTACTTCCAGTATGAATTGTGTGCTCATATACAGCAGCCACGTAGAATCACAGAATTAGGGTAATAAGAGCTTATATTTACAGAAACATTTACAGTCTATAAGGACTTTCTTATTGCGTATACACAATCTCACTTGGGTATCACACCTGAGGCTGTACCCTGGATATTCCTACCTTCACTTAGAGCAAAGAAGTAAGCCTCCTCAGAGCTTGGTGACTTGCCCAAAGTCACTCAGCCAGCACAGCACAGAGATGGGATATAACTAGTTTTTTTTTTCCCCCAGCTTGGTTTTAATTGCTGTATAATATATACAGCATAGCATTTGCCATTTTAGTCATTTTTAGGTGTCCAATTCAGTGGCATTAATTGTGCTTGCAATGTTGGGCAACTCTTTCATCACTCCAAATGGGCTCTACGCATTAAGCCATAACTCCCCACTCCCCCCATAGCCTCAACCCCTGGTGACCTCTAATCTCTGTTTCCGTTCTATGAATTCACCTATTCTCATTTAAAATTAATTTCATTGAGGTATAATTTGCATACGATGTGCATTTTCCTCATTTCCCCCAGTTGGCCCCACCTTTTTGGCTTGGTGGGCAGGGGCCAACAGTTTCCTATCTTGCCTTGTAATGAGACCTTTTTTAAAGCCACCTAAATCATGCTTAGTTCTCTGTACTCATTTAATTTTTATTATGTGTCTTTTTGGAAACCTCGGCCACATCTACCAAAGATATGTCCCTTGAAAAAAATGATTAGTGGAGTGAAGACATGGCATGCTGAGAAAGGTGGTCTCAGATGTGAGGTCATTGTGCGCCATGCAATCTGCTTGCTGAGCGAGCCTGTCTCTGCCTGGGGGTAAGATCAATACCTAGCCAAGCCAGGGGTCAGATAAGCCAGAGGTGAGCCAAAGCTTGAGTCCCTCAGTACCACTCTGCCAGGCAAGCACAAGCCCCAACAGT